TTCTGCTAAAATGAGATGTTTACAGCCCAATCCAAGGAAGAGTTTGCACAATCTAAAATGCGTGTCAGCCTTGATATGTCTGGGATAGGCATCTGGAAGTAAGGGTATTTTTCGTTTACTTATCATGAAAAATTTCAAGCACATACCAAAGTAGAAGGATCAGTAAAATCAATCCCCATGCATGTATCACCCAACTTCAGTGATTACTAACTTACAGCTAATTCACCAACACACCTACCCATTTTCATTCCCCATTGTCCTGCCCCGATTTTGAAGCAGATCTCAGATACATCATTTTGTCTCTAAGTATTAAATGTCTTAGCATGTATGTCTAGAAGATCAAGACTTTTTAGATACATAACCACTATACCATTGGTCACATGAAAAAAATTAACAATACTTTCTTTGGTAGAGACCAGCTCTTGGTCTGTTGTCCAGGCTGGAGTATAGTGGCTCAATCATACCTCACTGCAGCATTGAACTCCTGGGCTCAAGTGGTCCTCCTGCCTCAGCCTCCCGAGTACCTACAACTCCAAGTGTGCACCACCACCTGGCTAATTTTTTTTTTTTAAACAGAGATGGTGTCTTGCTGTGTTGCCCAGGCAGGTCTTGAGCTCCTGGCCTCAAGTGATCTTCCTCTCAGCCTCCTGAAAGTGCCGATATTACAAGTGTGAGCCACCATGTCTGGCCAATAATTGTTTCATCTTTCTGTTGACCAAACCTAACTACTCTGAGGTTTCCGATATTAATCTTTAGAGAGTTTATTTGTACAACTACACTTTATAGGAATCCTCTCACCAAAAGAAAAGATCAACCCAGAAAAACGTATCTGCAAATCTGTGTGCTGTTCGTACCTTGTTATAAAGGGGGACCCACACAAAAAACAAGCAATAAGTAGACAATTGCAATTAATACTGCCAGGAGGAAAATGAAGCAGGGTGGCATGCTTGGGGTTGTGCAGTATTATAATTCCTCTGGCTGTCAATGCTTGGGGTTGTGGGGTGTAATTCCTCTGACTGTCACTTCATTTCTTAGGAAAGAGACAGTTGTGGATAATCAAGGAAGTGGATCATTTCAGAGGAGAGGCAACAGAAACACAGATCGTGTTGCAGGGAGGCCAGTGAACTGGGATGAAGGGACAAGAGGGAACGCTGGCAGGAGAGAAGGACAGATCACATGTAGCTGTGGGGAGGAGAATGGAGTTTTTATTCCAAGTGTTAAAAAAAAAAAAAAAACCCACTTTAGGATTCTGAGTATAGGAGTTGCCTGGTTTATGCTTTTTAAAAATATCCCTGTTGACCAGGTGCTCACACCTGTAATCCCAGCATTTTGGGAGGCCGAGGCAGGCAGATCACCTGAGGTCAAGAGTTCGAGACCAGTCTGGCTAACATAGTGAAACCCCCACTTCTACTAAAAATACAAAAATTAGCTCGGTGTGGTGGTGCATGCCTATAATCCCAGCTATTCTGGAGGCTGAGGCAGGAGAGTCGCTTAAATTCAGGAGGTAGAGACAGCAGGGAGCGGAGATTGCACCACTGCACTGCAGCCTAAGCCACAGAACAGGACTCCATCAAAAAAGCCCGTCTTCTGCATGAACAATTGGTTGGAGGCAGGCAAGGCAGGGGCAAGGAGACTCATCAGAGGCCCTTGCAGTTGTCTTACACCATATAGGAGACTTGCAACAACATGGGAAGTAGATGAATATGGGGAGCTTTTACAAGGAAATTAAAGAACCTGCAGGTTTGGGGTTCAGTATGGTAAACTCGCTTTTACAGAAGAAAAAGGTGCTGGTAGACTGGTTTGACATATGAGATGAGGCCATTCAACAACGGCCACCAAAAAAAAAAAAAAAAAAAAGCTTTATTGGTCCTGCCCTGTGGGCAGCATGCCATTCATTCAGGCGCCGGGTCTGCAGCAGGCCACCATTTCTGTGAGCCCACACGGTAGCACCTGACAGGCAATGAAGCTGCAATGATGCCTATGCCTCACTTGTATCATAGACGGGAGAGCCCTGCTCACCAAGAAAAATGTGCCAGAGATACTGCCAGGGGAGGAGGGGTGAACGGATCCTTGAGTGTTCAATTGGGAATAAATCAATCTTTAAAAAAAATTTTGTAGCAGCAGGATCTCCCTATGTTGTCCAGGCTGGTCTCAAACCCCTAGCCTCAAGCAATCCTTCTGCCTTGGCCTCCCAAATCCTTGGGATTTACAAGCATGAGCCACTGCGCCCAGCCAGGAAGTAAGTCCTTTTTGTAAGTCTGCCAGAGTTAGGATAAAATGGGCAATGACTTCAAGTGGGAAATCTGGAGGCAGGTTTGCCGCAGCTTCTCCCAAAGTCACGCTTCACCCAGAGTCTCCCTCAGTGTTGAGGAGGCAAGCAAGGATTAAGAGCTGTGAGAGGGGACAGAGGGATGGAAGGTGATTCAGCAGGTTCTCAGTGTGAAAACATTTTCATTCATTCAAAAAGCATTCTTAAGCACTTGCTGCCCGTGTGGTACTATAGCAGGCGCTAATGAGGCTAAAAAAGGCAAAGGATGGTGGGTCCATCCTCACACTGCTTTGGTCTAATTGAGGAAGTGAATATACGTTAATCAGCAGCCAGGAGGGAGCCAACGCGGGTACAGAATAAAGATGAAGTAGCTGACAGGCAGGTCTAAGTACGAAAGGAAGTTTCATCGAAACTAAGTTTACCCCCCTTCGTAGCCTTAGAATTCTTTCTCCAGGAAGCTTCAGTTTCACTGGGAAAGAACCCATATAGGTTCCGTTTTGTTTTGGGGACTAGTGACATTTTTCATTTTTTAAATTTTACTAAGTTCTGGGATACATGTGCAGCTATGTAATTTTAACTCCCTCACTTTCTACAGCAAAAAATCTGGACAGATCGTGTAACAATGAATTCCCTTTTTCCCCAATTCTTAAATTTATATGAAAAGACTGACAAAGGCCTAAGAGTTAGATCACATTTGATTATCCAATTAGCCAATTGTTTTTTCTCCATTTTTTATAGAAACAGGATTTCACCATGTTGCCAGACTGGTCTCCAATGTTCCTCCTGCCTCGGTCTGCCAAAATGCTGCGATTACAGGTGTGAGTCACTGTGCCTGCTCATCCAATTGTCTATTTAAAAAGGTACAGTTAGGCATACTGGACAATCTCCAGATGTTCTAATTCACTGCTCTGTCAAAGGTGTTCCTTTCCCTGGGCCTTACTGCCAAAACCCAACCTTCTCTTCTTTGAGAAAGGAGGCCCAAACTCAGATTTAATAGATGAGTCAATTTTGGGGCTATAGTACTGCGTTACTAATTTCTAACAGACTTGGCATGTAACAAACTAGCTATTCAGAGTCCTCTGCAATGATTTATTAAGAGTGCTGCTCCGATCATTTTGAAATGTTTGCCTTGTTTTCATGGTCATTCGTGTCTCAAAAGGTTTGGGACTACGTAGGCCAAAAGGACACTGCGGGTTTCCCAGGCACTGAGATAGGGTTACTTTTCCCCAGGCCACAGCAGGCAAGACGGAAGGAGAGGAAAGGCAAGCAGGAAACTGTGAAGCTTTCGGGTTGTTTTTTCCCATTCATTCCAATTCATCAGGAATTGTACAATACCTGCCAAATACCCGTCACCAGCACCACGGGAAGCTACAAAAGCAGCACTCAGTAAAGGGGGTTCTTGCATGCCCATCAGTACAGGGACCTGGCAGGCAAGACCAATAAACCAGCAGGTAGGAACAAGAAGCATGGAGCATTCTACGTCTCGTAGTTACCTGTGTTTCAAATATTTAAACTTTTCCATTTACTGTAAGCAAACAATATAAGCATGATGATAGATGGCGATTTATTCTACTTTCTCAAGAACACAGTAGGGAGTGGTTAGTACTATGATGTCCTGCAGAGCCAGGCCCGTCTAAGGTGGGTGGGATTGACATCTTTTCTTAGGTTCTGACTGTAGTCAGGACAGACATACCAGATCTCCATTTGAGAGAAGCTAGACATCCGTATTTTGAGAACTTTGTATTTCTAATTGTTGGCATCTGATGAAAATATTTAGACCTTATCTTAGGAGCCGTAATTCTGTGGTCAACAAAATTGGCGTCATTCCCTGAAAAAAGTGGACCCTGCCCTTAAGTTACCGTATGTCTGGATTTATAAGATATACATACTAACTTGAGTATGAAAAGAAAACATATCTGTCATGTAATGAGTACTCAGTATGTGTTCAACCTCTTCCTCTTTTTCCCCATTATAAAATGGTATTTGTGTGATAGAAAACCAAAGTCAGCAATAGGCATTACGTAGCTTTCCTCCCCCTTTCTAAGAAGGGTTAATTTCCTTTCTCCAGTTGGAGAAGACACAACAAGAAAAGCAGCACCAACCATTTGTTTTGCCACCAAGAGTGATGGGTCAGTACATGAGTAGGGGACTGTATTTCTTTGCTCAAAGGTGGAACCAGAGACAATCTGGAGAGGAAGAGAAAGGCTGGGGCAAAGGGAAGGAAAAAGCCTAAGACAGCGAGACAGGGTCCGTGCTGATGGGACAGGAACTTTAGGAAAATAGAGTTTAAACGGGAGCCTTAAAATGTTTTACCATGTGATATATACATGACACCCTGCCCTGTATAGCCAAGCCATTTAAAATAAAATCCAGTGCTCCTTAATGCATCGGTAGTCCTATTTGCATTTGCTTTAAGGTGAGAACGAAACAGGCAGTTGGGTTACCCGAGACTGTGCCCAGTGAATGGTCATGACTCCAGAGCACAAAGGAGTGCTGACTGCACTTAACCAACTGAAAACCAAGGAACCCGAGGTCTGACCACAGCATAAGACACCTAACCTTAAAGAGATACCATGAGAAATACTGGTCTTAGAGCTGGATATTTTAGCAAGAAGAGAAAGCTCATTGAGAGGCGAGGGCAGAGCATGGGAGGTGGCGAGGGTGTGCTTGGTGTATCCTGGCCTGGTAGGTATATGGAGCTGATGGGCTGAGCAGAGACTATGTTCAGAATATGGCTTGTCTTCATGTTAGAAGAGGAGTCCTGGGGTATCCACAACCGTGGCTTACCTTTCAGTTCACTCCAAGCTCAAGTTTGCTTCTCCGCCCTCCGAGTGTCAAAGCCCTGCAGGTAAGACCCACAACCTAACGTTCCTAGAGACCAGAGTGTCAGACATAGCAGCACCAAGTCTTGAATTTTCGAAGTCATTATGTATGCAATGAGCATTTGTAGTTACACGGGCTATGCGTGGCTTTTTCACGCCTATGGAATGTGGGTCCAAGACTCTGAATTCGAGAGCTAGCCAGTTCTGCCAAGGCAGTTACATGTGTGAGCTGGGCACACAGCAAACTGTCAGTTGAGGTTCAATCTGAAGGAGATATATTTTGTGTGTTTGTGTGTGTGTGTGTGTGTCTCGACAGTCTTGCTGTGTTGCCCAGGCTGTAATGCAATAGCATGATCTAGGCTCACTGCAACCTTCACCTCCCAGGTTCAAGTGATTTTCCCGACTCAGCTTCCCAAGTAACTACCATTACAAGCATGCACCACCACATCCAAAAAATATCTTTTCTTTTTAGTAGACAGGGTTTTGCCACCTTGGCCGGGCTGGTCTTGAACTCCTGGCCTCAAATGCTCCACCTGCCTCAGCCTTCCAAAGTGCTGGAATTACAAGTGTGAGTCACTGTGCCCAGCTGATGGAGGTATGTTCTGACAAACGGTGAGCCATCTGTCTCAGTGTGTTTGCAAAACTAAGATGTGGATAGGAGGGGTTGGCAAGCCTGGTTGCAGCTCTCGCTACTACACAGGCTATAGAGCCCTCGGCACGGCAGTTAATCTCCAGGGACTTCAGTGTCAAATGAGAACGTTAGCTCTTTGAGAAATCTCCCTATTATCCATAATGACTGCACTAACAAATACACCTGTTAACCGTGTGTGAATCCCTTTTTATTTTGCATTCTCAGCTTTTTAAAAGCTTTTATTTAAGTTATTGTACTAGGGTAAGATGGCATCTCATTGTGGTTTTCGTTTTCATTTCCCTGATAAGTCATGAACTTTTCATGGTAGTTTGTTATGCCAGAACATTTTTCACATACTTGTCCATTTGTATGATTTTTTTTTTGACAAATATTTACCACACGATCTAGAATTATCACTACCGGTATTCATCCAAAAGAAAATCAGTGTATCAAAGGGATACCTGCATGCTCATGTTTATTGCAGCACTATTCACAATTGCAAAGACACGGAATCATCCTAAGTGTTCATCACTGGACGAATGGATAAAGAAAATGTGGCATATATACACAATGGAATACTATTCATCCATATAAAATAAAATCCCGTCATTTGCAGCAACATGGATGTCACTGGAGGTTATTATGCTAAAATAAACCAGGGACACAAAGAGAAGTATCATATGTTCTTGCTCATATGTGGGAGCTAAGAGTTGATTTCATGCAGGTAGAAAATAGAATGATAAATACCAGAGGCTGGACTCTGAGAAGGGTGTGTGTGGGCGGGCGTGCGCGCGCGGTTGTGAGGGTGGTACAGAGGTTGGATAATGAGTACAAATGTTGGAGAGAAGGTGTCACCTCTAATGTTTAATAGCACCTTGTCCTGTGCAGCTATTCCTTTTGGTTGTTCCCCGAGTTGTAGACTCTAGAATAAACTGGCAAACTAATAACGAGTTCGGCGAGATGTTACCACGACCACCTCCCCAGTTCTAATAGTTGGCTAGAACCTCTCATTTATACCTGGTTGGTCAGAATTACAGGTGGCCTGGGACTGACTGGCATCTGAAGCGGGGACAGATTTGTGGAACTGAGTCCCTCCCACCTGTGGAGTCTGATGCGGGCCCCAGGAAGACAACCGGTTGGCATCTAGAGAACAGGATAATTTGTTGGTGTCAAACACCTACCATGATCGTACTAGGTATCTCAGAAACACTATTAACCAGGGAGCTAGTCTTGCTTAAGAGACTCTACGGTCAGACAAGTCCGAGTTTGCCAGTTCTGGACTCTACAGCCTTCATAGTTCTCTGTGCTGCCTCTTTTCTCATCTGCAAACTAGAGAATCATTCTGTCGACCTGAGAGGGGGCCGTTAGGTCATGCATAGGAGATGATAACACATTACCTAGTTATGCTTAACAAACAGGTGTGATTGGATGTCACTGTCCAGGGAGTGTGGGTGTAGGAAGAGAAAGATGAAGCGGAGGAGAGGATGGCAGTGCGCACACAGACTCCCAAGAGGACCAGCTTATTGTGCTCTGTTAATGCAAAGGAAGGATTCGGATGCCAGAAGGATCCTGTGTACAATGAAGGTGGGGACCAGCAGGGTGGGGGGCACACGGTGGGTGAAACTTAGGCAGTAGATCATTGTTGCTGAGGACCAAGTCTTCACTACTCCGATGATGTCCCCAGGAACTGAATCAAGAGTCTATTCTCCCCTTGTGGACACACTTTTCCAGATTAAACAATCCACGTTTTTGATGGCTTAGAGGGAGTCGACTAATCCACTGAGGAGTGTCAGTGCCCTGCCCCGATTGATAATGCCGGTCATGGCAGACCCCTACAAACACGTTGGGTTTTCTATTTCATCCATGTCTTCAGTGACTCAAGAGGCTTGTCTGGGAGAAATGGCATCTCAGCCGGTAATACTAACATTCCCCTAAGGCACTATGGAGGGCAGTTTCTCCATGTACAGGAACCGACTCAAATTTCAATCAAGAAGCCGTTAGCTTGGCTGCGGACATTCGTTTTGGGACTGGGACAGGCTAGGCCCTGATCAATTAACTGGGCTGGGAAAAAAGTTACCTCTAGTTAAGTAAGTATAGGTAGAACCTAGCTGCAAATATTGACTGACCCTTTTGGCCCAGTCCCAGCTACGGCTGGGGAAGACGACTTACTATGCAAATGACGTCTCTGTAGGGGGCCTGGGGATCGACTTAATCTGACCCCTGCAAGAGGAGGGTGGTGATGCGTCTTAATCAGCTCAGACTCCAGGACTATAAATCGGCACCCTCTGCCCCTGGAAGCAGAGTCCGCATGGGCCCTGGACTGCACTGTTCTCGTTAGAGCCTTGCTTAATACCCTATCCTTGGAGTCATCTTCCTACCATGGGGTCCCCTTGCCCCTAGGTTTTAAATACTAGCGTTCAGCTTCCATAGTCCATTTGCTTATGTCTAAGCCCAAACCATCCCAATCTTGGAGCTCTCTCACGTGACTTTTTCTGCTTATGATTTTTAGCTAATAATGTATAAGTAAAGTATGCTGTAAACTACATTTTTATAGTCAACTGTAAACTTTTTTAAAAAAAAAATTTAATCAAAGGCTGGGAGCAGTGGCTCAGGCCAGTAATCCTAGCACTTTGGGAGGGCCGATTACTTGAGGTCAGGAGTTCAACACCAGCCTGGCCAACATGGCAAAACCCCACTTGTACCAAAAATACAGAAAGAAGCCAGGCATGGTGGCTTACGCTTGTCATCCCAGTTACTCTGGAGGCTGAGGAACATGAATCCATTGATCCTGCAAGGCACAGGTTGCAGTGAGCCGACATTGTGCCACAGCACTGCAGCCTGGGTGACAGGGAAACCGTGACCCAAAAAACCACCTCCCCCAAAAACACACTAAACCATTTGAACTACGCATAATTTACATGTAGATCTATTTAAATACCTATTTGGTAAACCATTCTGGGCAGCGGATAATAGAGAAACACTGACGGAGCTTATTTGGGGTTCACTGTATCCTGAATGGCCAGACCCTTCTGCTTGAACACTGAGCTGTTAAATTAGATTCAAATCTGAAATAACCGGCAGAGCGACTCCCAGTCTGCTTCCCCCGAAGGGAAAGAAAACGTCAGGAAAGGTAAAGATCACACAACCAGCTGTAGGGATAATGTGCCGGCTCTTACCCTTCCCAGCCTGGCTCAGCCACAGGAGCACCCGACTGGTTTCTGCCATGGGCATGTGCTGGGAAGGTGGGGCTTTGCAGTTTTGTCTTTTTACTTTTATTGTAGAGCATCCTTTCCAGGACATTCTTCACTTCAGAGAAAAATCACGGCAGCTTCACGATGCTAGGCAGCGGTGTATTTTTTTTTTTTTTTTTTAGTGATCTATAAAATCCCATTTTCTTTTCAAAGCTTACAGCAAGAACATCTGGAGTCTTATTTTCTCTCAGAGTTCAACCTACTTGACATTGTTGAGCTTCCCTACCCTTCTTGTAAGGTAAGAAGGGTTCGGAGATTTTAATATACACCCCACTGAGTCAATCAGCCCCAAGTTCTGGGATCAGACAGCCTAGGTTCCAGCCCTAACTCTGAAACCTTGAGTCATTTTTTTAACCTGTCTAAATCTGTTTCTTCACAGTACACAGTATGTTACACAGAGATGAGAGGATTAAACCAAAGAATCCAGATGTCCCCTATGCATAATGCAGTCATTAGTAGATACTAGCTGTGTACTAGTGTTACTGTTGATAGCATTATTAAAGGTTGTCAGCCATGCTGCAAGCTCATTAGCAAAATTTTGCTTGTATTCTTTATATACTTTTTATATTTCATGCAGAAGGAATAAAAGCCGTCATCTTATTTGTTTAGCAACAGGGTTTCACTGTGTTGCCCAGGCTGGAGTGCGATGGCATGATCAAGTACATTCAGCCTAGACCTCCAAGGCTCAAGCAACCCTCTCTCAGCCTCCTGTGTAGCAGGGACCACAGGTGCATGCCACCATGCCTGCCAATTATTTTATTTTTATTTTTTTGTACAGACCAGGTCTTACTTTATTGCCTAGGCTGGTCTTCAACTCCCGGCCTCAAATGATCCTCTGGCCTCCACCTCTCAAAGTGTTAGGATTACAGGTGTGAACCACTGTGCCTGGCACTCATTACACATTTAATAGATTGTGGAATACAGCTGGTCACTCAGCCGCCATCAACCTTGGCAACTCACTTCTCCCAGTCTGTTCCCCTTACTAAGATACCCTGGTTCAAAAATGTTTCGGAGGGGTTTCTAGTACTATCTGGAGTAAAAGATGATACTGCCAGGATGCATTACACTGCTTTTACGGTCAGATATTGATTTGAGTTTCAACTTGGGATTGGTGTTGACAAAACCAGTTTTTGCTCAGTTTTTAAATCCTAAGATTTTTTGAATGCTCTGCAAGCATTCAAAATGTTGACTTATCTCTTTGAGAAACCCTCTAGAATTCTTGCAGCTCTCACTTGTGTTTTTCCCCGTCCCTCTCCAGAGTTTGATTTTCTTCCCGTAAAATTTCATTAAACCGTTGGCAGCAACTTTTGGTTTTGCCTGTTGTACAATTTTTTGTTTGTATTTGGGCACAGCAGTGTCTGCGATGCTATAAAGTTCACTCGTGTTGTACATTCTCGGGGTTTTTACAAATGTACAATGACATGTATTACTCATTGTCATATCACACAGAACAATTCCTCTGCCTTAAAGATCCTCAGCGGTCAACCTATTCATTTTTCCCTCACCCCAAGCTCCTGGCAGCCACTCAGCTTTTTACCTTAGCCATAATTTTGCGTATTCCAGGATGTCATCTACTTGGAATCAAGCAGTACGTATAGCCTTCTCACTTTGGCTTCATTTACTTAGTAATATGCATTTAAAGTTCCTCCATGTTGTTCATGGCATCACGGCTCGTTTCTTTTTAATGCATAATATTCTATCTGGATGTGCCAGTTTATTCACCTGTTGAAGGACATCTTGGTTGCTTCCAAGTTTGACAATTCTGAGTAAAGCTGTTAGACACATCTGTGTGCAGGTTTTTCTACAGACATACATTTTCAATTCATTTGGGCAAGTACTAAGGAAAACAATTGCTTGATCTATGGTAAGACTATGTGCTGTTCTGTAATGCATCTCCAAACTTTCTTACAAAGCGGCTGCCTCATTTCCCCGACTTTTAATGCGCAGCCCAGCCAGCCATGTCAGGATATAGCATTGACTCCCTTGGTGGATGAACATCCCAATTTTTTGTGCCCATCTCGAGAGGTGCGATTATGGACAATCACATGCCAAAGCAGCATAGGGCAAATTCCTATGTTTCAGCCTCAGTTAACCCAATGTGCATCAGAGGGTGTGTCTAAATGGAGGCAACTTATTCTGTGTCCAACTCGCCTATCGCTATGTTGGCCTCTGAAAGCCAAGAAGTGCCACAATGTGTTCGCACCTGTTCAACAGGGGAAATGTGGCTGCCTTTTCCTGAAAAAGGCCCATGGCTTTCACACTGCCCATCTGTGTCTCTCTCCTTTCCTGTTGCTCTCCTGCAGACCTGTTAGTCATTCCTCCTCATTTACTGGGAATTTGCCTCCAGACTCGTTTTGCTGTCCCCTCCCCACAATATTCAGTCCCGACTTCTCATCGCTACCATTTTTCTCACCTTCCACCAGAGACCCACTCCCATCATCACCCTCAGAGCCTTCTCAGCCACACAATTTACACCCTTCAGACATCTCGATTTCAAGCAACTCGCCCTTTCAGCATAACTTTCCCGATTCACTCACCACAATTCTTTGAACTCACAGGGCCTCCAATCTCGAATTTTCCTTTGTCTCACAGCCCCTCAGCCCCCGTTTCCTCATTAACTTAAACCGCAGGATCCAGCTTCTCACCAGGCCCTTGAACTTGTTAATTACTCCTACCCAGTAGATGCCAATCCTAACAAATTCTCTGCCTTTTCCACGCTTGTCCTGAGCAGCTCCAAGTCACAGACTGACCGGGCTCAGTGGCATCATTTGAGGCTATCCTCTAAAGCTGCAGAAGGTCACTTGTGCTCCCGACACACCTGCTACACTTCACCATTGTTCCCGCTTTCTGAATTGCTCCTTCATGCCGTTTTTGTCTTCAAACCTCCTGCACTGTTCTTGAATTGTGGCTGATGGGTAGCTTCTAACTCCCTGAAAATACAGAAGCCAGGGACAGCTCTTATTTCCTCACACCAGTTGAGAAGCTCACCTAAATTTGCATCTGGCTTCTCATTCTTTTCTACTGTAAGAAAGCCTCTAACAAATATTCCTTCCTTGGGTTTTGGATGAGCTCACTTCAAAGATGAGCTCGTTTCACCTCTCCTTTCATACTTGCTTCCCTTCATCAACCATTCACACCACTTCATCACCACTCTTTTCCCCCACCTTTAAGGGGGGGGCAATATAATTTATGTAAAATTACGTAAAAGTAACAATTCAGAAATTACTTGATGTTCATTTCTCAATATCCACCCCTCAAAGGTAATCATTTTCCAATTGCTATTAGAAAATAGAATAATCAGCCCCTCATCAGCACAGTACGGTGGCTCACACCATAATCCCAACACTTTGGGAGGCCAAGGTGGGCGAAATGGCGACGTCAGGATTTCGAGACCAGCCTGACCAACATGGTGAAAAACTCTCTCCTAAAAATACAAAAAACTAGCCGGGCATAGTGGTGTGTTCCTGTAATCCCTGCTACTCAGGAGACTGACAGAGTAATCGCTTGAATCCTGGAGATGAAGGTTGCCGTCAGCCTTGATCGTACCACTGCACTCTAGCCTGAACAACAGAGTGTACCTCAAAAAAAAAAAAAAAAATTGTCCAGATTTGGGACCTTATGTAATTGAAATGTTGTACTGACTTTTTGGTATCGGCTTCTTCTGTTCCATACAACATATTTGTGATTGATCCGTCCTGTCGGGTAGGTCAGTCCTTCTCGCCGCGTGGTATTCCATTGCATGGTCGTCGTTTATCTATTCTTGTGTTGATGGAAATTGGCTCTTTCCATATTTGAGCTCCTATAAACAAGGCTGCTCTGGACATTCTGGTACACATCGTTCTGAAAATATACCTTCCTTTTCACTTGGAACTTCAGGCCATACGATGTGTATTTTACTTTATTAGAAGCTAACGGACAGCTCTTCATAGCTGCTGTCCCATTCTGCATTCTCAAAAGCAGTGTAGGATAATTCTGGTTGCTTAACTCCCTACACAAATTTAGGAAAATGGGTCATTTTTACTTTAGTGATTCGAGTGAGTGTGAAAAGTGCTTAGGACAACACTTGGCCTAAGATTAGCCTGCAATAGAAGTTATCAGCAGATCGCAACTCAAACCTTTTTAATAAAGGGCACTTGAGTTCCTTCCGTCTTGTAAGCATGCTGCTTCTTCTTGTCCTCGCCCCTCCTAAAGCCACGTAACTCCCAGTATTGGCTTTAGAAAGAGGATCCGGTAGAGACATCACCAACGCGCCCCACAATACCCGGAGAGTTTGAAGAAAATCGTTAGGTTTTTCTTTCTCTGCAGCTCCCTGTAATTTAACCGTCTATGCTACTTTTTTCTAGGCTTTGTCCCCATATTTTAGGAGTTGCATTCTCTTTCAAGCGGCACCGCCCCTGTGGGACCTCAAACCTTGCTTTCTTGATAACTGATTGGAGATCCCCGCCATCAGCACCTCCAATCTGTAAACCTGGGTTGGATGCCCCTGCCTGAACACAGCTTCTCTCGGGGACGCTCTGGAGGAAGTCGGGGTCTCGGATGTGGCTGTGTACTCGGGGAAGACACGTTCTGCAGCCCGAGGTGGGCCAGGCCCTGTCTGGGCTCCTGGTGGTGGAGCCCACCGGGCGGTCCCGGCTGTTCCCGATTGCACCGCCGAGGGGCGCACTCCCTTCTGCAACAACTGCACCCGAAGTCGTCCTCCCACTTCTGTATTTTCCCGATCCCCTCCCCTCCAGACCCCTCCCCACTGGCCTTCTCCCTTCCACGTGCCAGCCGGGCAGGGAAGGGAGCACTCCCCTCAGGACTGCGCCCGCTCTGCGGCTGTTCAGGGCCGCGCGGCGGCCGAAGCACAGCGCCGGAGAGACCGAGGTCAGAACGGCTCCTTGGCCCACTGCTGTGAGGCCGGCGCGTGCGTAATGCGTCCGGGCTGGTCGGGGGCAGGTACCAGGCGGCCCTCCGGGACCCCTCCATCTCCCTGGGTGGCTGTGCGCTATCCGCGGTGCTGATCGTCACCACCCACCACCGCCGTGGACGTTGTGGGAAACGGTCTGGCGATCCTCTCGGTGATCGGGAACCGCAAGCTCCAGAGCGCAGGTAAGCACCATCCCTGGTGCTGGGGCCGGGCCCTTCCCTGTCTGCCGGTGCTCCCCAACCCCGGTATCTGCGCTGCTTTTTCCCTCCTCGGTCCGGGGCTTCCCTTTCACACTAACCTAGTCCCCAAGTTTGACTCCGCACTCAAAACTTAGCGCGAGTTCTGTCCCTCCGACGTGCGGCTGCCCAGAACGCACTTGGCACAGATGCAACTGCGTCAAATTTTACTGGCGCGCTTTTGGCCAGGCGCAGGCCCTGTGGCAACCCGCGCTGCCGGATGCCATCGCTACCCGTGTGCCTTTCCAGAGGTGCCCACATGGGGCCACACAAATCCCACCACCTGTGCTCGACACCTCACTTCCTTCCGTGCCCACCACTGTACCTGTGACATTTGCTTAGAAAATCCTTGCTGAAAAGATTGTGTTTATCAACGGAAGCGTTCCATTGGGTTTTGTGTCAACTTATCTCCAGGTCATTTGAAAACTTAATTCCATTTGACAGAGTTTAAGTGGAGAAATTACAGGTTCTGCTTGCACTGAACTAAATGGCTTTGAAACATCATAGTCTTTCCTGAAGACTGGAAATTCCGGGGGTTAACTATGAAAATTAAAGCAATGATTTGGCTAAATCGTGTTCCAATCCTGGAAGTATTTCCCATTTCAATCCACTCTTTTCAATGTTCCCATAGTCAGGTCTTCAAAGAAACAAAATCACGGGGTTGAGGGGGGCGGTATCTGAACTCTTGCCCTCACAGGTCATGGGACATGCTGACCATTTCGGCCTAGGAAGGAGCTTAGTGACTGGTTCACTTTGCAGTTTCTCAAGATGAGCCTTAGATGGCCACTTCAAATATTAGAATGAATTAAAAAATGGAAAGATAACTGCAGAAAAACGATGTGTAGATTAAAAATGCTTTTCTACAGAGTCAGACCATTTTTAGCAAATGGTAATATGTATTTGGTGTGGCCTGTGATTCTAGGATTTTCAGTTTTTTTAGAGTCTCTCGCTTTGTCACCCAGGCTGGAGGGCAGTAGCAAGGTCTCAGCTCACTGCAACCTGCATCACCCAGGTCCAAGAGATTCTCCTGCCTCAGGCTTCCGAGGCCCTGGGATTACAGGGGTGAGTCACCCTACTTGGCTAATTTTTTAAAAACACTTTTGGTGGAAACAGGGTTTCACTATGTTGGCCAGACTGGTCTTGAACTCCTGACCAAGTGATCCACCAGCCTTGGCCTCTGGAAGTGCTGGGATTACACAGGCCTAAGCCACTACACCCAGCCAACCCTAGGAAGTTAAGAAAAAAGCACTCCAACTTCGAGTGTCTAGCCATCATATGGGAAACATTAATAAGCTTTCTAACCCAGCCACTTCAGTAGTGGTGGCTAATGTTTGCTGGAATACATTGTCCAACATTGTGTCCTTTGAAGAAAATCTTATTAGGGAAGAACAGGTTATGCTTAGAAAATTGCGTTTACTTTCTTGACACATTCTCCCTTGTAGCCATCATAGACGTTTTCTGCACAGGGAGGCACCTCCTGGCTCTGGAGGGAAGGAAAGGGTCCTCGTGGTTCTGCCATTGGCCCTTCCTATCCCCCATTTAGAGGTCTGGCAAGCCGTGGCTCCCTGCTCTGTAATTTGGATTGCCCACCACCGGAAAGGTTAAAGTAGGAGCTTCCTTTTTTTGGAAAGAGAAAAGCACCCCTCCCCTCCTGCCTCCTACAGAGAAGCTGGCCTTTTCTGTGATCCTGGCAGGGTCTACAAAAACATTACCCCTTTGGGAGTGTGGCAGGGGAGGGTCGTGAGCATGTTAAATTGCTGGCACATCTCTTTTCTGCCTCCCGATGTGTCCACTACAGGGCAGCACCAGGAAGCAAAAAATTAACACTGTATCCGACATCAATTCCTGCCACTTGCAACGTAACCGTTTCTTACGTGACCACTGGCTTTATTGGCGATGGTCACCAACAATTGTAGTACTGACTTGCTCAGCAGAGTGAGATTTCAAAAGGTGCTTGGAAATGACAGGTCTTTGGCGAGTTAGCACCCATTCTACTCTTCATCAGGCCTTGTCTTACTGAAGGGTTTGGAAAGGCTTATTCAGACCTTGCTGACCTTAAGTCTGGCTCCTTACATCATTGGTATTTAAAATCAAAGTACATGTTTCCATTAACCAAGACACGTAGCCCATAGTGAGGTGACAGCATGTTTCCCAGGAGATACCAGTTTCCTTTACTTGCCTGTCACAAACCCAGTTCCCCGGCGGGGCAGAAATGTGTCATCCCTAACAGTGCTGCTCCTGATGGCAGGGTGAGTGATTAGGATATTCCTGAAAAAAATGACTATCTGTAGCTTCTGTTGCTGCATGTGGTGGGTTGACTTTGGACATAGCACTACAGAAGGGGACACAGAAGAACGGAAGCAAGGTGGGAGGTAGGGTCAGGGCACTGGCCCAACTTAAAAGGTAAGGCCCTGTGTGTTCACTCTGCGACATTCTCAGTCTTCTACAGCCCATGGCACTGGGTTGGCACCTCACTCTTGTCACCAGAATGCGCTTCCAGGGGACTAGCCACACTTTGGACTCTCCCTAGAGTAGTTGAGAACTTTCTCTCCTGGGCTCACCACTGCTGCCCTAGCCATTGATCCACACCTCACTCATTTTGATCTCTTGCATTTTTGAGCTCTTTTCTCCTGGAAACTTCCTCCGTCAGGTTTCCGTTTCTGTATTTTACACACACATACGTGCACACACACGACATACAGCCTGTTTTAAAAGAACTGAAAACTTTTGACTTCATGCCCATCCTAACTTCTCTCTCCTCGCCTTCTCATCCAGACACGAACATAGTTGTGGACACCCACTGGCTCTACCCTATTGTTTCCCATCCATCCTCAGTCATCTGGGCTGTTCTCTGGAAATGTTCCTCTGTACTGTTTGTGACAGATTCACTCCCTCCGTGGGATCTTTCATTCCCTTGGCCTAACAGGGACTAGTTTTATTTTTTTCTTCATTTCCAAGATACCTGTGTCCTGAAAGTCATCTTTTGTCCCTCCTACTCTTATTTCACACTCCCTAATGATTTTGCCTTTCACTATTTCTCCATTTCCCCCTTTTCTGCTTATTGTCCCACCTTCACGCCTTCATCCTCTCTTGAGCAAACGCTATCCACAGTGCTTGGGAGCTTTTCCTGCTCCCTCCTCCAGCTGCTGTTGCCCCTGCTAAGAGTAACTGCCTCCCATCTCCAGAACAGTGTCCAACTCCAGAGCACAGCTCCCACAGCCCTTTGTGGCTGGCCTAGCCCAGCTCGCTTATAGCCTCAACTCTCACCAGTGCCAAAGTGAGCTGCCGCCACTTCCCAAAGGGGCTATGCTCCTCGACATGCGCTCTCAGCCTCTTCTGCCTTGTCAATAGCTGCTCCTCCAACCCCTTCCCCAACTCTCGTGCAGGGTTGTCCATGTTAATTATTAATTCCATTGAGGGCATAGTGTCTCCCTTGCTGGACTTCTAACCTACCTGTGCCCTCTCCAGTACAGCATCCCCCTCACTGGACTCTTGTTCTGTGTCTCTCCCTGCTAGACTGTGCACCTGCTAAGAGCAGGCGCTTTTGTTCAATTTCTAACCACAGAGCCAGGTATGTAGCACGAACAGAACATACCTCTGATGAAACCAATTGTAAATGGACAAGACACCAAGTACTGGGAGAAAATTGATTTTGCTTCACGAGCTGGGATAGACCTCAGTTACAGTACTCAGCACTGCTTAAGTAATCCATACAGGTTTTCATGAAACTCAATTACTTTGCGAGCTAACAGCCCAAGTACATCACACTCTTGCCCTCAGAAGCTTACTACCGGCACCTTCTGCATCAAGGCATGCCTGTTCCGGTTTTCCTGTGTGGCTTAATTTGCTCAGCAGGGTCCAGTCATGCCACAGTACTCCTCTCGTGATTCCTCTTGGGGAGTTTGCCCTGCTGCGGTTTGGCCGTGTCCCCGTCCAAATCATCTTGAATTCCCACATGTTGCGCGGAGGACCCGATGGCACGTAATTGAATCATGGAGGCAAGTTTTCTCATACTGTTCTCACTATATTAAGTCTCATGGTTTATCCGATGGTTTTTAAAAGTTACTGTGCACAAGCTTCGACTGCTGCCGTCCACTGAAGACGCGACTTCCTCCTCCTCGCCTTCCCCCGTGACCAGGAGGCTTCCCCAACCATGTAGAACTTTAAGTCCAATTAAGCCTCTTTTTTGAGTTGCAGAGTCTTGGGTATGTCTTACATCGGCAGTGTGACAACGGACTAACACAGCCCCCTTCTTGGCCTGGCCCGAGGTTGCCACTTTAAACTACTTGTAAAATGCAGCCCATCCAAGACAGCCGAGAGAACCATGTGCTCGCTAACATCTACGTCCTCTCCATTATCAGAAAGGTAGGCACAGCAGCACCAGTTATTCCTGGCTCCACAGGCACAGCCACCTTAGTTTTCCAAGCAACAGTAAGAAGCTGTGGTCCGACAGTGAATTTTTGTGCTGCAACTGGGTTAAAGAGGCTGTCTGGGAGGCTTACCGAGTACACAAATTGCCATTTTTGGGATGCATCGATGATTGTTAAATGTAGTATTTGATATGAAGATTGCCTATGAAAACACGGAGAATTCACTTGAACACACAGGTCTTTGTCCAAAGTCACTCTCTATGCTGGCAAACCTGCCCCTTCTTTAAGGCCCCAGTGGTGTGGAGGATTCACACCAACCTCATATCCGAAACCATTAACTGCTTGGGAGCTTCCCGATGGGAATTTTCTGCCCATGCGGTACTTTGCTTCCCCAGTTAGATTAGAAAAGAGTCTGCACTGTGGCCCCTGTTCCTTGCCTCTTGTTTCCACTTGGTGACCGGGACAGCAAATGATGCTCGATATAACCAGTGTGGCTCTGGATAAACGCTCTGGAAGGCCTAGAGGGAAATGCCCGATAGACCCACAGTCCCTACTCTCCAGGGGTTACAGGATGAA